CAATTCGAGGCTCTTACAGACTTTTTGTCTCGCCCTGCAACATTATTTGATATTGTTTCCTAATTACAATATCAAGGAATGAAGTGACAAAGTAAACACAAATCTGGTTTCACTGACCCAAAACATGTAGTATCGAGGTCATCAGTTAAAATATATCACAGTTGAGTTTGCTTGCAATCAATAAAAATATTAACAGTCTGTATATTTCAAGGTATTTCTATAAAACAGTATTAAATGTAAAATAATGATAATAAGAGTTCTACATGTATATCTGTCCCTCAACAACTGAAGAAATACCCAAGATATCGCAACATTTCAGACAAACAAATCCTTTGTTATTCACGTTGAACCAAGTTTTGCACAAGGAACAATCTGTATTATTGAATTGTTACTTTTAATGACTTCTCTCTTAACTAGGCTCTATGCAAGCAACCAGTCATAAAATTATTGATTTTGAGGGCCCTCATACTTTTGAATTTACTGGAATAATAGAGTTTGAAACTAATGCATGAATAACCACAATCATACATGGGTGTTGCCAAGATCGTTAATTATCAAGTTTGGTCCATCTATGATTCAATCCTGTTAGAAGACACTATTAGATTTAAGTATTTCTGAAAATTAAATTTCTTCAGAAAATTTGTATCTAGTGTGTGTGAATAGTGTTATAGCATTACTGAGTATTCATGGTGTAGTTGGACAAAATATATTTATTTCAAAACATAAGTGATACATAGACAGTAACATTGTTCATTTGTTCTTGCAAATACTCAAACTGGATACATTTATTTCAAGATATAAGTGATACAAAGACAGTAACATTGAAAATAGACGCCATTAAAAGTTAAAAATTAGTCTCAGAGTCAATTTAATTAATCAGGACCTCAATATAAATCACCAACCCCCTTATTATTACAGAGTATAAAGATAAACAAATTTAAATGTTTTATTAAACAACCAACTCATTGAACTTAATTCGTAATATTATTTCAACGAACAAACAAATTTTTAGAAGACAGATAAAGTTTTATCACAATTTAGCATATGGAATTTCTTGAAAACATATTCATGAATTTACATAACAGAATTGACTTTTAAACAACATAAACTTGATAAAAATATTCAAACAACTGTCGCTCCTGTATGTAAAACTAGTGAAATACCATCAAGGTTAAGTCTAATATGGTCTTCAAGTTTTAGCTTACATCAAAGTAAGCTGTTAATGGAATATCAGCAATCATACATTCATTTCAAGCTCTGCTTGAATTATTCAAGCAACTCAGGCTTCAACTAATTAACACTAGAAGTAGAATTGTCTCATCTACAGGACATTAACACTCAAACTTTTCACCCGGCAATACTTGAATTGACAAGGATAGAAGGTATGCCATATAACTTTGACATTTACATGTATTCTCAATCATATGATACAAGCTGCCAATGTAAATAAAAACCATGATAATTCTGGCTATACTTCTAAATCATGAGCTGTGTCAAGGTCAATTCCACAGTCAAAAATATTTGGAAAAAATAGGTGTTTGAGTAAATGTGAAACTAGGGATGGGCAATGTAGAATAATCAACTATTCTAGAATAGTTAAATCGAATCCAGAATACAGAATTCTATTCTATTTTCATACATATTCAAATAGTGGGAAGTTCACCTTGCTGGATTTAGCTGTTAAAAAATTGTAAATGTATTACTATAAATGTATACTTATTTGGAAATGTCCTGAACATTGGATTTCATTTGATACTAAACAGGCATTTCCCAGAACAAAAACAATAAAATTTAAGTATGTTATTATATTGTTCCAAATGTATGTGACCCCTAAATACTGATAAGCTAAGTAAGACACGCTTTACACACTTTAATCGTAAGAGGCTAAAGACAAAAATAGATATGAAACGGCGTTAAATTAGTCTGCCGAGTGTTCTAAAACAGTGATTCCCAAAGTGGGCGATATCGCCCCCCGGTGGGCAAAAACGATACAGAGGGGGCAAAAAAGTCGAAGGGGGCGACAGGGGGGCGATTTCGCGAAACCTGTTTTTGTTCGGCGCATCGATGCACTTGATTACTGTACTCTGCGTGCTTTCGTATGTTTGAATCACGTGGGCGATTATCACATGCGAAAGGATTGCTGGACTTGTCTTCGCAGTAAGGCACGGCAGTTTGCGTATCTCAGTGGTCGGCAAATACGGCCGGAGTAAAATATGTCTACATAAATACATTTTATCATCCTATCTCTTCTAATTGAAACCATTCAACAATTTGTTTTCTAAAAGTACCGGCAAAGAATTTTAGCCTAGTCTATCACAGCTATTTCTATAATAATTTTTGATTACTGTAATTAAACTGAGGCTCCTAGGAAGACAAAGTGATCATTGACTTGTTTGATTTATGTCTGACCGGATGCGAAAGGGGGCATTGTTCCGTTTATTTTTGCATCTTGCTGATTGGCCAATGTCACGAAGTAAACAAGGATGCCCGGCGAAACACCCTAGCGCGGCGGTTTTGACTAAGTATTTTATTTATAATCTACGCAAGGAGTAAATTACATTTTTTTTACGAAACAGAATTTATCGTGAGACACGTTTAGACTAAATTTCATTATATCCTGAAATTCTACTGAACAGCTACTCGTTTAACGAGCCTACAATTTAATTAGACAAATGGAAACACGCAGAAAAGTTGATACTGAGTGCAGGGGTTCAATAGCGCAGTAAATATTCGAATATATTGCAATGCAATGAGGAAATGAAATTCATGTTCTATTCGAGAGATTTGTTCACTGCTTAATTTTTGTAAGAATGTGTTTTCTTAAAGAAAATCTTTATCAAAATTTCACAAACCATGCGAAAATATTCACTTCGATGTTTGGAAGTAGGCTACATATTTGTGCGAACAATTATTTTCGAAAATTTACATGACAAATAACTAGGATTAGTGATGCTTATTTAGAAAATGTTTCAATCTTGTCGTCGTAAGGCTATCAAGCGTAATACAGCAACAAGACAGTGTCACATTAAATGTCATTGTAACAACTTTTTAATAGGACGAGTTGAGTAGCTGAGTTGAGTTCACGAATTTTTGCAGTTTTTCGCGCGATGTTCCGTTTTAGCTTTCGAAAAATATATGCGACCGGCAAAAGACTACCCTAAATTTTCTGCCATGCTACTATTGCTATCAAAACAACGAAATCGCCTTTCCATCAGTAAACGGGGTAATTTTAGATATAATAATAAACTCGCTGAAGAACACCAAGCTCATCCATCTCATTAAAAAACACTGTAAACTATGAGTTGTCTTCTTTTTTGGTCTGTAACATTTTTTTGTAGTGTTGGGGGCGATGAAGTTGTATAAACTACTTTAGGGGGGCGATGCTACAAAAAGTTTGGGAACCACTGTTCTAAAACATACCAGCTGAGAATTAATTAGATTCACTACCAACGTGTGGCCACTGCAACCTATGCGGCCGTTGTAAAATATTAAATTTAACCACTATCAATTAAAATCAACTTTTTATTCTGTGCGAGCAAGACTCATAAAACTAGGCTCCCGTAAACGCGATTTCGTACTTAGTTATTAGGTAATAACATTTAAAGACGAATTCATTTTTTATGATTATCGTTACATATCATTATTTACCCAGACTTGGCCCTACTCAAACTCAATACGTCACTATCTTCGACAGATGCGGCAAATTTTTCTAAATTTACTGAAGTTACACAGTAATATAATTTGTCAAGTCTCTCGCCCCACCTCAAAAATAACTATTTGGCAATAAGCTACAAATAACAGATAAATAACAGACAAAAAACAGTAAGGCGAAAGTATGTTGTATTCAAAAACATGTTAAAAATATGTGGATGGAACGTAAATGTCCGAAATAAAGAATGTAAATATTTAAAATAAGGTGGGCAAGTCAAATCTAACAAAAATTTTCATTTTTAATCAGCTTCACACCCCCTCTTGCCCACCCACCTCTCAAACTTTTCAAGTCTCGCGTCCCACCTCAAAAATAACTACGGTAGCTAGCAATAAGCTACAAATAACAAATAGTAGGGCGAAAGTTCGACATGTTTTAGCCAAAAAACGTTGAAAATATGTGGTTGGAACGTAAATATCCAAAATAATGAAAATATAAATTAACAAAACAAGGCGAGCAAAATCAAATCTGACAATAGCTTCACACCCCCTCAAAAAATTGTCCGTGCCAATGTGAGGAACATTCAACAACTCGCCATTGAGAAGTCCTGATGCTGATTTGGCCTAGTCTTGTTGCAGCTTTATCATTTTCGATTTTTCTACTAAACTGAAACTTTTTGGATATCTAGATGTCCATTGAGTTATTTGCTACATGCCTGAACTTTGAAAACACGACTACAAACTGAAAAACAACTGGCGAAACCACAAAAAAAATCAACCATGCCTAAAATTCCATTTTTACTGCACATTTTGAGATAGTTTTCACAAGTTGAGGCTGGTGCTAGATGTTTCATAATCATCATTTGATTCAAAATGTTAAACAGCCTGTCATTCTATAAAAGTACTGATATCTAATTCTAGTCTATTACACTTTTTTAAATAATACAACAAATGAACTAAAACAATGCAATCCTAGCGATTTGGGCTTGATATTTAAATCTCTTGCCATCTCATATTCAAATCCCATGCCCAGAGTGTAATAAATCGGGGATAGACAATGTCAGACAGATATTAATTTCCTCAAATATTGTAGCTTCCGACATATTGTTATACAGGGTGTCCATAAAGTCCCTTTACGATATTAATTTTGTTATGAAGACACTCATTATATCTTAATCAGGTTTGTTGGTTTTTAATCAGTAATTGTTCAAGTATTTTTACTTCATTTAATCTGTGGAGGCCAAAACAATATATGGTATCGATAAATTTCCCGCTATAATTTCAAGATTTATAGACGTCAGTGGATTCTTATACTGAATAAAAACTTCAAAAATATTATTATATGAACCCACCTGATGCTCCAGTGTCTTCTTTTCTATCCATGTTGTTAGTTGAGCAGGCGATGCAATTGCAAGTATTTTAAAGCAGCTTTTTGGGTTTCAGCAGTTCAGTGCATAAACATTAGGAAAGTTAGATAACTTTACAAAAAGATCATCAAACTGCAATAAATGAAAAAATTCATTACAAATCTGTCCTAGCAGAAAGTGTCATTGCTCAACTTTGGGACTGATTTAACTGACTCAGCTAATTAGGAGTAGGAATGTGCCCTTTTCATGAAGTCATGCTTTCAAATTCAGGGTTAAACTAAATTATTGCTCATCTACAACTGAATATTATCTTCAGAAGGCCGATGGTTAATGCTGATAAGTAAGTACAAAAACAGTAAATAAAATAAAATATTTCACATCTTCTAGTATAGATAAAATATATTTCATCAAATAATAATTATGGTTTGTCATGATGGATCAAGAGTTATGAACAGTTATGAATACTGAAATAGATACTACAACCTCCATATCTGGAAACGCACTTGAGAATTAGGCACTCTTCAGACACTTCGAACAAAACAGAAAATGGGTGTAATAACTTTTGAAAAGATAATGAAATAATTATAATGAAAACTGAATTTCCATTTCCATCTTTTCCAAAAGGCCTAGCGTATCTTTTGATCAAGTGCGTGCATCTACTTCTAATAATGCCTCCTCCTTGTAAACCACCTTGTAGGATTTACTTGTTGCACCTTGCATGTTCAACATTTAATTTGATTATATTTAACAATTCATTATTTTTTTAAAATTTATTACGCTCAATTTCCAAAGTGCCTAATTTTCAATTGCCTACTTTTAGTTGGTTCTTCATTTCAGGCACATATACTTGGAATGACCAACTATTATGAACTATAGCTATAAATATTACATGCAACATAAATCATGTAACCACTAGCAAATGCCACAGATCACAATAATTGTATCAACCGCTCAAATCACTGTAGATTCATTTATGATAACTTTTTATTCAACTTCACTCTCGTCATATTAGGAGTAGATGAGTTTGCTTTGATAGGTTGAAGTTTTAGCAGCAAAAGTACAAGGCACAATCTCAACCAATATATTGGCCAAGTGATATATCAGCCTAATATTTAGACTTTTCAGGTTTAGGCAGGTTTGTTGTATAAGATATGAATATTATGGAAATGCACTTAATTGTAGGGCAGAGTTGCACATTAAGATATTATCAGTGGTTTTTCTTTTGTTCCCAGAGAAATTGAAGCAGGCATAGAGAACTCTGAGATACATTGAAGCCAGACTGGATTCCATGGCAGGTGCACGCCCAAGGACGCTAGCGCTCTGCAAAAATGCACGCGAGCGAATTCAATTCTGCACGCCGAAAATTTGCAATTGCTCACCAATGTAAATCGGTTTAAATAGTCTTTAAATCAATAATCCAGTAATATAAAGATGCCAAAAAATTATAACTCTACAATTGTCGACTAATACAGTAATACTAGTTTGCAAGATTTGGCCTGATCGAAAAATGCGAAGCGAAAAAGACCATATCGTGTGAATGATAGGAATTCCGTGAGATTAGTTATGGGCGGAAAGATCGCCTCCTCACCGATGCTGGCCAGTTACGGCTCTGATTCAGCGTATTTTTTTATACGATAAATAAACACGGATGTACTGAACAGTACCGGTATTTCAAACACTCTCAAAATTAGTGACAAAGGATAGAAATAATGTTTTGGGTCAAAGGTCAAACGTTCATTTTTGCTCTGATTTGACGTATTTTTTATCCATTAATTCTACGTAAAAACACTCCCAAACTTATTGACAAAGTATGTTCATTTTGCTCTGATTCAACAGATTTTTTATTCAATTAGTTTATGCGGATTCACTAAACAGTACCGGTGTTCAAAGTCACACAAACACTCTCAAAATTAGCGACAAACTGTAGAAATAATATTTGGGGGTCAAAGGTCAAACGTCCATTTTTGCTGTGATCATCGTATTTTTATCCAATCCCGGTAATTTTACGTGGATGTATTGAGAGGTATCTATTGTTGAAGTCAATTGCACGCGGGCGCAGTTGTTTTGCACACCGTAAGCTATAATTGCACGCCAGGAATTCTTATTTGCACGCGGGAATTTCTGATTGCACGCCCGATTTCTCGTTCAAAATAGCCATGAAATCCAGATTGGCATTGAAGATGAAATTTGGAATATTTTACCTCCTACAGTCCTAGCATTAAAGAATTGATATTTATAAATTTGAAACACAGTTACACAATCACTTTCTGTCGATATCTTCTTCATGAATGTGTATGGCCTTTCCCCCATATCATAGTTTTACTATTTCAGTATATCAACGGAATGATTCTGAATTTTTACTCCTTTTTTGTTTTGTTTATTGATATTTTTACATTCATGAAGTCTTTTCTTTTAAGCTAGCAGCATGAGTATGAAATCCTACTAATCCATCTACTACACACACATGCATACATACTATAAATGCCAACTCAATATCCATTCTTCAATTCTCTCTCTGAATTCTCTATTAAAAAGCAAGCTACAACTACCAGAACAGCATAACCACTGTGAAGTGACTCTCACGGTGACCTTTGTGTGCAACCAAGCGAAAAGTTCAAATATCATATCAGAATCGGAGGCGGGACTAAATTTCCATACGCAATTAGGAAGCGAATGAATATAAAAATACAAAAATAAAGTTATATACGTTATTTCTGTAAATTGGAACAATAAGTGCGTGCCAGAAAAATGTAAAGTGCGAATCATCAAACAACAGCTTATAAATATGAGTTTTAAACAAAAAAATGCAGCACGAGTAATTACTTTAAAAGTAAATATCGTAAAACATACACTTTTCAAACATTAGTCACATGTCTTTCCGCCCAAGAGGGGCGAGATTTTATTGATTGATATAAAAAAGATTCATACACTCTACACAATACAATTTGAGTCGATGGGTACAAAATTTTAAAATTATGTGTAATCCATTGCTGAAAAAAGCCTATTTCGCCTATATCGTCATAGGTGAAAAATCGTAAATTTATGCACTTTTCAAACATTACTCACATGTCTTTCCGCCCAAGAGGGGCGAGATTTTATTGATTGATATAAAAAAGATTCATACACTCTACACAATACAATTTGAGTCGATGGGTACAAAATTTTAAAATTATGTGTAATCCATTGCTGAAAAAAGCCTATTTCGCCTATATCGTCATAGGTGAAAAATCGTAAATTTATGCACTTTTCAAACATTACTCACATGTCTTTCCGCCCAAGAGGGGCGAGATTTTATTGATTGATATAAAAAAGATTCATACACTCTACACAATACAATTTGAGTCGATGGGTACAAAATTTTAAAATTATGTGTAATCCATTGCTGAAAAAAGCCTATTTCGCCTATATCGTCATAGGTGAAAAATCGTAAATTTATGCACTTTTCAAACATTACTCACATGTCTTTCCGCCCAAGAGGGGCGAGATTTTATTGATTGATATAAAAAAGATTCATACACTCTACACAATACAATTTGAGTCGATGGGTACAAAATTTTAAAATTATGTGTAATCCATTGCTGAAAAAAGCCTATTTCGCCTATATCGTCATAGGTGAAAAATCGTAAATTTATGCACTTTTCAAACATTACTCACATGTCTTTCCGCCCAAGAGGGGCGAGATTTTATTGATTGATATAAAAAAGATTCATACACTCTACACAATACAATTTGAGTCGATGGGTACAAAATTTTAAAATTATGTGTAATCCATTGCTGAAAAAAGCCTATTTCGCCTATATCGTCATAGGTGAAAAATCGTAAATTTATGCACTTTTCAAACATTACTCACATGTCTTTCCGCCCAAGAGGGGCGAGATTTTATTGATTGATATAAAAAAGATTCATACACTCTACACAATACAATTTGAGTCGATGGGTACAAAATTTTAAAATTATGTGTAATCCATTGCTGAAAAAAGCCTATTTCGCCTATATCGTCATAGGTGAAAAATCGTAAATTTATGCACTTTTCAAACATTACTCACATGTCTTTCCGCCCAAGAGGGGCGAGATTTTATTGATTGATATAAAAAAGATTCATACACTCTACACAATACAATTTGAGTCGATGGGTACAAAATTTTAAAATTATGTGTAATCCATTGCTGAAAAAAGCCTATTTCGCCTATATCGTCATAGGTGAAAAATCGTAAATTTATGCACTTTTCAAACATTACTCACATGTCTTTCCGCCCAAGAGGGGCGAGATTTTATTGATTGATATAAAAAAGATTCATACACTCTACACAATACAATTTGAGTCGATGGGTACAAAATTTTAAAATTATGTGTAATCCATTGCTGAAAAAAGCCTATTTCGCCTATATCGTCATAGGTGAAAAATCGTAAATTTATGCACTTTTCAAACATTACTCACATGTCTTTCCGCCCAAGAGGGGCGAGATTTTATTGATTGATATAAAAAAGATTCATACACTCTACACAATACAATTTGAGTCGATGGGTACAAAATTTTAAAATTATGTGTAATCCATTGCTGAAAAAAGCCTATTTCGCCTATATCGTCATAGGTGAAAAATCGTAAATTTATGCACTTTTCAAACATTACTCACATGTCTTTCCGCCCAAGAGGGGCGAGATTTTATTGATTGATATAAAAAAGATTCATACACTCTACACAATACAATTTGAGTCGATGGGTACAAAATTTTAAAATTATGTGTAATCCATTGCTGAAAAAAGCCTATTTCGCCTATATCGTCATAGGTGAAAAATCGTAAATTTATGCACTTTTCAAACATTACTCACATGTCTTTCCGCCCAAGAGGGGCGAGATTTTATTGATTGATATAAAAAAGATTCATACACTCTACACAATACAATTTGAGTCGATGGGTACAAAATTTTAAAATTATGTGTAATCCATTGCTGAAAAAAGCCTATTTCGCCTATATCGTCATAGGTGAAAAATCGTAAATTTATGCACTTTTCAAACATTACTCACATGTCTTTCCGCCCAAGAGGGGCGAGATTTTATTGATTGATATAAAAAAGATTCATACACTCTACACA